GATAGGGTTGATATTTTATAATTTAGAGTTTATAAAATCTTCTGTTTTTTTTATGATGTTTCCTCATTATCAATCATTCCATAATCAAGTGATAACAAAGTGAACAATGATATAGATGATCATAAAAATCACGACAAAAAAGTTTAAGATATCACAAACAGATAAAGTCATACTTTATCAATAATTTTGTAAATATTTTTATTAAAAAAAACATGTTCACAAGAACAAAAACTAAAAATAAAATTAATTTAGTACGAAAATTTTAACTTTTGGTTATTTTAATGGTGGAAAATAATTCCTTGAACAAGTGGGATGTGCTTTGAGTTTATTGTGCTTCTATAAAAATTTGGATGGCGAGGAATTAGTCCCTTCTTATCCCAACTGTATAATCAACTGTCAAATAGTACAACAAATTTGTCCTTACAATTTTCTTGTATCTACTCTCTCATAATTCAAAAGTTCATTTTGACTTATTATTCTACTCTTTGCTTCAAAAATCTATCACATTTATTGTTAAAATAAAAACAAAATACAAGTAGGTTACAATAAAGTTCAAATCACAACCAACAATGGATAAGCTAGAGTATAAGATTTACGTAGAGATAGAAAGAAAGGAAGCTCGCAAAGTCGCAATACATCGATCCTTGTTTCAGGTGAAGTAAACAAGTCCTAGAAAAATGCAAAGCGTTGATAAATTGAAATAATTGCCAACACCGACTCTTGTGTACTCTTTTGCTCCTAAATTTGATCTATAAATAAAAAAAGGAGTTGATCTAATTAGATTGAAAACTAAATTTGAAGAGCTTTTCAACAAGTCACTCACCAATTAAATATCAACGAAAAACAAGGAAATTATGACGTTTGAAGATGAATTATTGTTATAAGAATTTGTGTTTATTTTCATTTTATTTTAACAAAGCAAAATCCACGTTGACTTGAGTCAGATAATAATTGTATGACTTCAGCAAAATCAAATGATAAATACGATGTTAGAAAGGATAGTTGATTAGCTAAATAAATACTATAAAACCTCATAATAACTTGACATATAATATAATCTTTGTCACCATTGTAATAAAATAACTACAGGAAAAAAGCATATAAATCCTAGTGGAAGAATAATCGATTTTAAAGTTCATAAAATAATTTTGTAAGAAGGTTGTCAGTTACTTTCTAAATCTACGATGACTTCATCATCATTCTATTACTTTCATAGTTTTTATTATTTTTCTTTGGTCCAAGAACACTTGAAAGATTTTATTTTATTATTAGTATTAGTATTTATTTATTAATACCTATAAATGTTTGATTCATGCTTAATGAAATATTTGATAGATCCCTAAAAAAATAAAAAATAAATAAAAAAATTGATAGAAGGGAAACTAGGAAAATTATTCGCATAATCTGTAGTATATCTTCTTATAATATAATGAGCAATTATATATTGAGGCTTGCAATCTTTACAAGTAGGGATGGCAATCCAGTCCGAACTCGACCCTACTCCGCCCCGATCCGAGGTAAAAAATCTGTTCCGAGTCCGAGAAAAAATTAATCCGAGTTTGACTCCGTTAAGATAATCTGACTACGAGTCGGAGGAGGGTCAGAGTCGGATCCTACAAAAAAATCTGAGAAAAAAATTCGACTCCGACAAATGTCCGACTCTGACGCTATTATCCGACTCCGACTCCAATAGATAGTGGACTTTTTGTGTGGGTTAAGTTGGCATTGGGCGTGGGTTGCAAAGGCCCAAATAGCCCAATTTCTCAAAGTATAATGAATAATGAAAAAAAACCCAAAGTCGGGTCGGATCAAAGTCGGAGGTCGGATATTGAAGTCGGACTCGGAGTCTCGGAGCTTCCTGTCGGGTCGGAGTCAGATTTAGCATAATCCGCTCCAAATCCGACCCGTTGTCATCCCTATTTACAAGTAATATAACAAATAAGGTTGACATATTGTGACCAATCCTATCATTTTTTTTAAATTTTTTTTTTAAACAAGAATTTTATAATTTTACTTTCTCCAAAAAGAATATATATTTTACGTGATCATTATAACAATTAAATTACGAAACAAATATATAAGGAGACTTAATTTATATGGAGTATTAATATTTTCATAATTATTCCTATATGGCTATATTAATCCCTATATTGATAGAATTTTGCATTTGTTTATGTACAAAACTACAAATTAATAGTACTTCAATACTCATACGTATACAAAATTGGATTCTCTCTTTTATTTGGAACAAAAGAAAAGTTTCCATGGTGTGAGAAATGCCACTTTCAAAGTTATACAACTGCCCAAATTCCCTAGAGACCCAAGTATTAGAGCACTCATGAAGTCGTGAACCATAACTAAGGCACTATATATGCACACCAAGAATTCAAGCATGCATGTATAGCTGTCAATTTTGTACCCAACCGTACCTTAACACGTGTCAACACGTGTGAATTGAAGAATTATGCTTGAATGAAGAAAGATGGGGGTTTTCTTAGGGGGTGTCATTTTTTTTATTTTTTATTTTTTATTTTAGCTTATGATGATACTCGGTTTATTTAAGTGTTTATGGAGAATCTTTATCAGTAATATCTTTAATTAACATTAAGTATAAATTTTAAGGGCTATGTATAACATTTTCCAAATTTTAAAACTGACATTCGAAAACAATGCATTGAATTGTTTATAGCAAGTATCCATATGACTATGTTTGATCTATAAAGAATAAACATTGGTCAAAGGCTCAAAGCAAACTAAAGTAAAGTAATGTCAAAATCAGACTAAACACGTAAGGGACTAAGGGGGGAGAGTTGGGGAATGGGGGTATGAAGAAAGTGAATATCAGGTCACACATGATACAATGATAATTTAGTATCCTAAATGTATCAACTCAATCTGTTTGATAGATACAATCTTTACCACTAGTTCTACAACGAGCAAAAGTCATAGCCTCATAGGCATCCTAAAATTATGATGAACGAACTCAGTTGGCTTCCCTTGTTTTAAGAAACAGGATCACCAACTTCGGCCTGAAAATTAGAACAATAAAAAGTGTGAAAACAATGAAAGCTAGATATAATTTTTAAACAAGGGATCAATTACCATACAAGTCGAGCAGCATTAGAGCCTTAGAGGGACAATAAGTGCTTTTGTAATCAGAAACTTTGCATTTGTCGTCTAAATTGGTAATGCATCCTGATTGAATAACCTAGTTCGCTGGTAAGTCTTAGGGCCTGTTCTGTTCAGCTTAATTCAGTTTAGTTCCTGAATTCCTTCTCTAATAAACAATTCATTTCAGTTTAGTTCAGCCCCAATCAATTCAATTCAGTTCAGTAAATCGAAACAGACCCTTCTTAGCTAATATACAATGAAATATAACTTGGTTTAGCTCATGAAAAGCCGATTCACATTGGTATGGATATAATACGAGCATGAAAAGGGGATAAATATGAAATTTTAATTACTACCTCGGTTAACTATTATTTGCAACAAAGGGGTATTATTTGTGAGATATAAAATAGTCCTTTGTTGCAAATAATAATTAACGGAGGTAGTATAAGAAATAGTTCAAGAAAACCTTATGCTTTGAGAAGCAAGTGTTTTGAGTGAAGTTTATTTCTGAAACATGAAGCTTGCAGTAGAGGCCCTTTTCTTCTCGTTTCACCAAGGAATGATTCATGATCCATGAATTAGCCCCAAATTTAGCTTTCTAATTCTCAAGACAAAACAGACTATGTCTGCTTCCAACTGAGGCCTACACATTGAAGCAAGTGAGCACGCAGCCTCGTGTCAAAGATATAACCCAAACACGCACAACAGTAAACCAACAGCTAACTACTGTTAGTAGGACTCTGTTTGGGACCTGATGTTTTCAAGTCAGGCATTAGTAGATAAGTTAATGCATCTTTAACAATCTCAGGAACTAATCATCCAAGGAAAATATCCCAATTTCAAGTTAAAAGGAATGCATGCCTTAGTTTAGTTCTCTTATATACTGGTACTAAATTGACGGCTGAGCATAATAACTGTATTTCTTCCCTCACTTTAGATACGGCAATTACTGATAGGATTGGACATGTTAACCTAGTACATGTTCTTCAATCCGGGCAAAACATGCCATGTTTGAAACCAATATTTTCCTCCATCATGCTTCACTGCAGTCAAGCCTGTAATTCTGCATACATTCTCGCTTTAATTTCCTCAGATTCCTGCCATATGATCCCTATGTAACAGCCTCATTCATATTTCACAGTTATTCCCTGCAAATTTTATAGGTTCATGAAAGAACCTCACAACATTAAAAGGGTTTCTGATTTGCATGCTTTAATGGGAATTATTGTAAATAAAAAGGAAGATAAAAACAGAGAAAAGATACAGTATTCTGATATCACATACACATACCAACTCAGTTAAGCATGAAAAATCCTTGGATAACAATTTTTAGCAACTACATATGATAAAACACTTTGGTAATCAGATTACCTTCTCATCGAAACAATTCGGAGCAGTGAACTATCCACACAGCCAAATCACAAAACTCCAGGATTCTGCTAATACATTAAAGACAACAATTAAAGAGACTTTCAGGTGGCTCAAATGGACTGAGATTCAAATGAACATCACAAGTGTCCAAATCAAGTACATCAGATGTGAAGCTTCCATAACAGTGATAGTTCTCTTCCCACGACTATGTGACAATAATGAATCACAACACTAAGAACAATAAATTTAAATAACAAAAAAAAATTAGCAATCCTGTGAAATTGGTACTGTAGTCCAAGTAACGAAAGAATTGCAACAGAATTTATAACAGCATGAATAAATGTGTGAATGTGTCCACATAAACTATGGAAAAATTCAGCTTATCATGCTGTCCCGTTTTAAGACCATAGACATCAATCTCATCATCTTGGCCTGTGAGCAGTATGACTGAAAACATTTTGGCAGCAAATGTTGTAAAATCAGATGGATACACAAGTAATTTCAGACAGAATGCTCTGAAGATGCTCAGACAAACATTTCGCCTCTATCAGTAGGGGATAGTGTGCTTTGTCACAACGATATAAGTAAATCAATTCACAAAATAAACATGCATCAATAACAGCCAAACCAAGAAAAAAAAAATTAGGAATACAATAATACAGCCATAGAGTACCTTTGCATTAATTATCATTTATAAAAAAAAGGTTCTCGTCAAAAAGAAATTATCAAAAAAAGGTGCCTTACAATAGTTTATACATCATGGGTATACATTTATTTCTCCAAAAACTAAGTGATCTATGTAACAGAAAATAAATATAAGTTCTGTACTAAAAACAATAAAATTAGAAGTCGTCAAAATCAGGAATATAGGCTTCTTTTTAATAACACAAACAATTCGAGTTCCACAGCACAACAGCAGCCACCACTGGGTTCCAGCACTACACTTATTCACATTTACAATTAAGGAATCTGTACAAGTATTCACGTCTTCAACAGGTAATAGGTATTCATTAATACATGCAAACCTTCATAGGGTTACTGATCACATGAAAGAGGAAGGTTGTTTGCCACAAACTTAGCAAGAGGAGGCAACTGTGAACACGACTACTATAAATGAGGGGTTACAAAAGGTGTTTGTTAAACCCTTTTGAGGATGATAACAGAAGCAGCAATTCTTCTCCATTGATACAGAATCTGCCAAAGCATATGCCCTTGCTCCTTGGCGTTGGCAGCAACAGGATTGGCACTGATGTTATTATACTAAGCACAGTTCCTATCAGCTTATGACCACAGGTCTACAAAGCATAAGTGATCTTTTATAGCATCAAGGCATAAACCCAGAATCTGAACATATGCTACATAAGCTGATACTCCAGTGAATTTGGCCTCCAAGCTCCTTCAATCTCAAAAGAAGGGTATAAGACACAGCTATTCATTCATCCATGCCGGCTGACCAAATTGAACCACTACTCTATCAAGAGCTGATACTCCAGTAATTTTCAGTTCAGGTAATTATGCTTAAGTACAAGACCAACAAGATCAATAACTCATATATATGCCAGTGAGGCAGGGTCAGGAGAGGCCAAGATGTACGCAGCCTCCTGCTTCTAGCCAAAGACTATTTGAGAAGCTGTATGAGATAGACTTTTTGTAGGGAAGCTGATATGCATCCTTGAGATCCATGAAGGAAATATAGAAAAGACCATTCCTTCTCAATATAGTGTGACCTGATAGCAATATTATATAAGATCATCATCCTTTTCCATATCCTGCTGAATTATCAGAAGTAAATTATCCTATCTTCCAGGTCTTTGTTTACCTAACTCGGAATAACAAAGATACTGGAACCAAACAGAGTCCCTTTTCCTTTAAACCTGCATAGCTGATATCTGTCCCAATATAACCTGAATGTGGTACTTCTCCAGTCTGGTTAGAGGTATTTTGTTTTTCCTGAAGAATAGAAATGCCAGAAAATATTTAGTGAAGTGAAATATTAAAGAAGTGAAGAACGTCCACATTGTTTGGCACAAATGCAGACCAATGCAGGCAATACATTTGAAACAATTCCTAAATAGTTGTATTATACCTGAAAAAGGCTAAAAAAGTCATGCTTCCCTTGTTGCACTGGTGGTAAAATGTTCAAAACACCTGTCTCTTGTAATTTTATTTGCAATTTTTCCAAGTCTTCAGCCTGAATTACAAAAAACATTGATTTAGTATCAAGGGAAGTTGACAGGAAACCTTAAGAAATATCAAGAAAACTTTACACTAAGGCAACAAACTATGGGTTTGCAGGGATTAACATGAGAGCTACTCCTTACCTCAGAATTACAAACAGGAGAAATTGCAGTGTCCTCCAGTTCAGGATCAATATAAGTTGCCAGAATCTTTCTCCTTTTAGCAACAGACCTAGCTGACGCAACACGATCATCATTATTCATGTTCATCTTTTTTACCAAAACAGCAGCACCAGAAAATATGGAAGAGTTTTCAGAACCAGAACAGGTAACAGTATCCTCCACATTACTGATAGCTATGGAGTTGTCGAAGTATGAAGACCAACCACTATCTTCAGAAGAAACCTCATGTCCATCACCAGAAAAATTAGATTTGTTCTTGTGGTTTGTGGAGCTCATAGAATCCTCCATTAAATCACCAAGTTCCAATAAAGCAGTTAGAAGGTTTTGAAGACTAATGCAAAAGCAGAGGAAAAAAAAAGGCTTAAAAGGTTATTCAAGTTTGCCCAAACTGCTAAGGGTTGAGTTCTTTTATAGAAGCATTAAATAAATTTTAATTTAAGTTTTCCAAAAAGATATTCCACGTTTCATTTCTAGAGCTTGCCTTCCACTCCAACAAAATTAAGGCATGGAAATGGGAAAGTCATCTAAAAAGACTTGGTAAAATATCATGTCATCCACCCCATCACCAAGTCAATATCTCACGTGGGAAGCATATTCTACAAGATAACATTAATCCATGGAAACAATTGTTCAAAATTATAAATTTTAAAACTATATAAAAAAAAAAAATTAAATTATAACCATAATATGATGTCGCAGTCCTAAGAAACACAAGTACTTGTCACATTATTTCAGAAAAATCCTTCAAAGATTTATAGTTAAATGATGTTGTTGTCTATTTTTTTTTTCCCCTTATAAAGTTGATATTGTTAAACGGCTTTTCAAAATTAATAGATGAAAAGCACATAAGAGGGACCATAGAATTCTTTCAAAAAAAAAAAGGACCATAGAATAAGAGAAAATAAGAATGCCAGGAAACAAGCTATATATACTTGACAATTTGACATCAAGCGGGTGAGATAACACCATTGGCCATCAAACATATCCAGTGCAACCAGTAAATACACTATGTGGCGCAACTATTTACCTTTCAACAACCATAATGTAAAGCACAGAACAAAAAAAAAATCTAGAAGTGGCATCTTACCCTCTACCAGTGTATAGGTGTTAGAATCCAACTCCTTTTGATGTATTAGATTCCATTTAAGTGTTTTCCTAGAGTTTAGGTTATGTTTTCTTAGCTTGAGGTCCCATTATTGTGTTACTGTCAGATCAGTGTTCACTAGGGATTCTCCTTGTATGTCATTTAAAGCTCTTTAGAGGGCGAATGATTAATGAAATCTTAAAGCCTTCTACCAAGTGTTGCCTTGCTTTTATGCTTGTTTGTTGTTAGACCTTTATAGATATTGTGTCTTACTTGCATATTAGCTCCCCTCCAACCCAACTTGATGCGCTAAGGACTCGTGGTTCGGACCCGCTTGTGCCCGCTTTGAAGTATCAGCCGTCACAAGCCCCGACCACCCGCACTCCGTCGCCCAGATAGACGTGAGTGCTCCTGAGATTCTATTGCCCGCTTGTGTTGCTTTGTGCTCACAAGCCCCTCTTCCGCTCAAGGCTAGCGTTCTTGCCGCCAAAAGGCTAGAGCGCGTCGCACGTTTCGGGGTCCAAACTCCCGGACCGTGACAATAGGACTATACAAGTGCACACATGAATATGGTATCACTTATAAATTTAATACTGTATAAATTCTAAGCAGTCATTCTAATTCTACTTCCTAGGTTTTAATTAAAAAAAAAAAAAAACATACTCAACAGTTATTCTATTGTCAAGATGAGCTAATTTAGTTGCCCTCGGCAGCCAGGTAAGTGTACGCCTATTAGAGATGTCAAACCACATTATTTTTTGGCAACTCATAGAAAACATATTTGACCCCTATATTTGAACAGGATAATTTCAGCAGGTGCAAATAAACGACTATGTCTGAAAACTTGAAAAGTGTTTTGATAAGCATAAATGATAAACAATCTGAATTATTTAATAAGCATTTGGTATAATAGTGGCCATGAATCCTGATTAACTCTTATATTATTAATATTTCAGATCCTCCAAATCTTTAGCTGAAGAGTTCAGCATAGTTTAGGCAATATGCTTATCAGCTTCTAAGAAAATTCAAATATCCCATTTTGACCAACCCTATTAAAGTGCATATTAAAACATCCAGAATGAAATTACATTGATTTTCAGCACGTAGTACGGTAGTAGTCGTGGAAAACCATGAATGCCAGAAATAAAGAGATGGAATACTAAGCTTGAGATAATTCTGAACTTGTTCAGCAAGGATAATAAACATTATACTAATCAAATTTGACCAAAATATTTTAAGTAATCAATTTTTATTTGACTCATTATATAATAATTTGCATATACTTATGTAGAAGAATTTTATTTAATATGGCCTAATGATGGGGCTCAAGCTGGTCCTAAACAAACCCCTGATAATCAGACACTGAAATGTTTGACAAAAAACAGCTTACTTCCTTGTAGCCACTGAACTACAACCATCCTAGTCTCTGTCCTACCAACATTACTCGCCCATGACCATACCTAGCTAGGTAATGCTGGTACACATCATTAGAGAGGCTCAATATTTCATTAACTACCAACTATTGTCAAACAATCACTTTGTTCTGGTGAGTAGTGAGACTTGTGACTGACTCATGGGAAACACAACAGAAGCATTAAAAGCAATAGCTTCAAGTTGAGCTAGGATCATAATTCATAAATATTTGAATTAATTTTAAATCAAGGTAAATTTTCTAATCACAAAGAAACATATCATTTGTCAAACATAAGAGCAAAAAGTTATTCTGAATCCGCATATTTGAAATTTACACAAAATCTTCATTTATATATAACAGAAAAGAAATCCATTTGTCAAATACTACGAGATATGAAATTTACACAAAATCTTCATTAATATATAACGGAAACATATCATTTATATGAAATTTACACAAAATCTTCATTTATATAATTTTAAATCAAGGTAAATTTTAAAATCACAAAGAAACATATCATTTGTTAAACATGAGAGCAAAAAGTTATTCTGAATCCGCATAATTGAAATTTACACAAAATCTTCATTTATATATAAACAGAAAAGAAATCCATTTGTCAAATACTACGAGATATGAAATTTACACAAAATCTTCATTTATATATAACAGAAAAGAAATCTATAATTTTGTTGCAACACAAATCATCAGAGTTGCAGTCAAAGATCATGAGAGGTCAAGTCCATATTCATATATTGGCAACCAGATTGACGGAGCCTCTAGATTTAGCCGCAAATTTTTACTCTCAAATATTATTTTCTTCGAATTTTCACATATTCCAATTGACTAATCAATCATGCAACATTCACATATGATTCCCTTGAAGAAAGATTCCCAAATACAATACAATTCCTATGTGGATTGTCTTCCATTATTTTATAACATTCGCGCACGTTTCATTCCTCATGCCTGACTCTCCCACCTGTCATTAACCTGCTCCTTGCTCATTCTATATAAAGCCTTTATTAAATGTCTATGTTTGACCAGAAGTAAGGTACTACCTGATCCATGCCATGACAACACTTTCACAAATGATTTATTTTGAAGATTCTAACCATACAATTAAAAATAAAACAAAAACAAAATTTATATATAAATGCATAAGGTATGATAGGAGACTCATCTGCCGCCTACATTAGGATATATGAGGACATCCTCTCTACTTAACATAGAATACCTTCGCATGTTTGAGGAACTGACAAATTAGTAAAAGCCACATAGAGGTATGTTCATGGTTGTCAATAACCACAACATGGGGAAGTGAAATTGAAACTCCTTGGTGGGCTTCCAATCAAGCAGTAGGATTGCTTTCATACTCAGTACACTACATCGTGCTGTCTTGCTTATCTTTTACTTTGCGTCCAAGGAATGCATACCTTGTAGAGAGTCATTCAAGGGATGACATCATTTCGTGATGACAAAGCGCATCAACATTCCCACACGTGCATGCAGATGTTTCTGTAGCATAGGACAGCAGATTGTATACTGATCAACTTACAAAAAAAAAAAAAAAAACATATATATTGCGAGGAAAATACAAACTAACATGAAAAGTAAAGAGAGCTTGTTCAGCATGGATAGCAGAGAATATTCCTAACCGCCCCCCCCCCCCCAAATGCGCAACTCTCTCTCCCAATTGGGTTCCTTACTTACAACAGACAAATCTTCCAAGCATTTAAATCAAACTAGAATAGAACTGTAAAAGGTAAAGACAGCAGACTGCAGCAAAACGAATAATACATCATTATACTCATAATCTCTTATGTTGAGGATAAAATGAATAACTACATTCACCAAAACTTAGTCATTGATGTCAACAACTGAAGGTGAAGGACTTTGTTGTGCATTTGGGACACAGGAAAGTTGCTAATGACTATAATTTTTTGCAATAAGATACTTTTGAGGATCTCAAGATTTCAACCTACCACAATCATGTAGTCAGCAGAGTAAATACAAACAAAAGACAAAACAAGAGTTCCTCAAAATACCATTTCATATTGACAGCAATAATAATACTAATGATGCTAGCATGTAACATGTCTACTTCGGGAAATTTATTGCTCAAACACAAATTGACAAAATATATCCCAGATAATCTCTTTGCTAAAGAGCTACGGTGAACAAAGTACAAGTGTATTGAATAACTGATAACTGATAAGATGTATCCCAGATTCGGGATAGTCCTCCAGTGGCTCCAATCCCTTATTACTTAATATAATATCAGTCAAACTACCAGGGAATATTTACATATAATGTACACAGAGAGAGAGAGAGTGAGGGAGGGAAAAAAGTTTCAAAAATCAGCTAAAATTAATATTGTTGCAGCAGTCATCGCCATTTGTCTTTGTCAAGGTGCGTATGTAATTGTGTAACGTACACCTCATATAGTCAATATTTTAGTGTAAATTGAATTTCATGCTTCAAAAGACGAAAAATCTTCGTTAGAAAGAGATTAATAGTATGTAAAATTAAACAGTATAACATGAGGTGTGCATAAGATAAGATATTAAAATAGTGGAGAGCTCAAACAAGCCTGGTACACATTAATTTTAATATTATAGTATTGATTGAAAAAAATTAATGTCCAAAAGACTACCATATGCTTTAAAGAATTGAAAAATCAAAAAGATTTTGGAAGCAGATGTAGCTTTTGGGATCTGTGATCAGTCACACAAATTCATAAGAGATTGGAATTCAACCAAAATTTGAAACATTAAAAAATCGGGTTACATTATCAACCCTCAATGAACAGAACTACCAAGAATACTCACATAGTTTGACTGTTAATTCTCTTAGAATAAACATATTGTAATTTAAGAAAGTATTTTTTTAATACCAATACTACTTGAGTCAAAGCATATAATTTCTGTATATTAACATAACCTAAAAGCCAGCAATTAACATTCGAACTCAAAAGCATGTCTTAGTAGTTAGTATTATGAAACAATAAAGGTTAGTGCTTTATTAATGCAAAATTGATCAATAAAGTCAAAACCAAACAAAACCTGGAAAATTAAATGCACCTACAACTTCATCACCATCACAACCCAATCTATTGATCGGATGATGGGCGGCTAAATGTATTAGTTCAAGTTCACCCCTAAAGTAAATACATTTTTTCCTCCGTCCCAAAATACATTTCACGCTTTTATTATCCTCTACAAAATACTCCTTGACACTTCTAGTTAAGTAACAAACTAACAACATACTAATTGTAACATTCCTCCGTTCTAATTGTACCATGACACAACTCTACTCCATCGGCCTACTCCACTCCTTAAAACTAAAGGACCACGCTGGAAGTAGAAAGAGGGATTTGATCCCTCAACCTCACCAATGGTAAGGAAATGCACCTATGCTCTACCCTAAGCTACTTACACTAACCTATGGAGGCACGGAAACAACTCGGGTCTCAGAAATGAACAACTAAGTCCCAACCATTTCTATGCACTATAATCACGAAAACAATCGAGTTTCAAAAAACGGCGAAACCTCAGGTCTTAGAAGGTCCCGTGCTTCCTAACCGCCAGCTACCTAAGCAATTCACATATCCTCTAAACCGAAATCGGATAAACGTATGCAAATTAACCTCTAATCATACTACATTATTGAAGAGACTAATTTAAAGTCCCCCATCATCAAAATCAACATACATTTTGAGGATCCATTATTTAAATAGGCTTAAGACAGAATGATACTTCCAAGAACCAAAAATTGAGATTTACTACATTAAAAAAAACGAAGTAGTTTTTAATTTCAATATTTAAACTGTAGTTTCTAATCTTCTTTCAAAGTACACAATTACATGCAATTATTCAAAGGTATAGAAATCAGAAACATAACTACAATGAAGAAACGCTCAATTTCATCAAATTAAATTAATATGAACAAAAATTGATTATTGCAATGCATAAACAATAGTTAGGGTTTTGAAATTTAAAAATAAAAAAAATAAAAAAAAATAAAAAAAAAAAATCAGGCAAATACAAATGTGAATAATTTTGCGCGCGTACCTTGATCATGGACTAGTAGGGAACAAACCTGAAAATTCTTACTGAGCATATTAATTTATATTTACTGAGCATTCTCATGAAAATCTCATAAAGAATTTCAGACAAAGAGCCAAAAGAGGTTTTTATTATACCTTCTCAAAAATGCTTTCACTTGTTTCAATTTTTTTTTATTTTTTTTATTTTCAACTTTATTAATCAATATGGTAAGATATAATAAAGTCATTTTATTTGGGTTTCAAACTTTTTATAATTGTTAAGTGTATGGAACGGATATATTTAAGGTTAAAATAGGTCTTGATTCTCTTTAACTCCGTAAAAACTAAAAAGTCATATGTAACGATTTTTAAGCGATGAGGGAGTATTGGAGTAAACAATTAGACATATTTATGTCATACCATAATTGGCCGGTATAAAAACTTATTCTGTTTACAAATAAACATGAACTAAAGCCCTCTATTAAAACTTTAGGAAGTCGGTTAGACTCAATTGTCTATTAGATTTGAGTGTTAATGAAAGGTTATCATTCTAACCGCAAGTGTTTATAATCTGTACATATGGGATAGCCGCTAGGATAGGCTGAGTTTGACTGATACTGAACTTCTGAGGGGTGCATGATGTTGAACCTGAAGGTGTTCATTGCATAGCCGTATCCACAGGCATTGCTCTGTAGTCTGTACAAATTTCCTCTAATGCTGATGGATCACCGTACTAATTACAGACTTGAATCAGCAAAACATAATCAAAGATTTTACATATATTTCCTCTTTGGAAGGTGTTTTATTGCAGAGTGCAGACGGACTGAAATACAAGTCTTGAATTCAGGTTTTATTGTCCAGTAGTAAGAAATTAAGTAGAGATTTGTTGAACATAGCAAAAAGAGATTTTATGTTGCACAACAACTTGAGAGTTCTGAAGCTGTCCTCTGCAAAGTGCACTCCAAATAAGTTGCAACAACTGATCACTTCAGCCCAGAGTAAGCTTGGTGATAAGCCAGAGTATTGGTCTGAAGAGCGGCAGCATAACATGAGGATGAGAGTCAATCAAATCCGGAATGCAAAACAGATATAAGTCCCATCACACCTCATCTGGAAAGGAAAGTACATGTAAGGGATCGATGCACAACCTTTACCTTCACTCACAATCTACTCTCGAAATAACTTTGAAACAGTTAAGAAGGCATTATGACAAGAAATTACAGCTTTCATCGAACCCAAGAGGCAAGAGAGATATTCTACTCAGGTCACAATTTCAGCAAAAAATATAAACAGAAACAAATTCAATATCTCTTGTTGCAGATTTTGCATCAATCATCTGTTTGGAAGGATGTCTGAGAATGCAAAATCATGAAATGGGGGGCCTGAAATGAAACATTAATTTGAGTCAGCCACATAGCTCAATGTAAGTTGTTCATAT